TGGTAAAATATTTGTGCAAAACGAATGCAAATGATACATTTTTTTCTTAAAAAAATTTGTGATTATTGCAGTTAGTCTTTATAATAACAAATGTAGCCTAAGGCCTTGTTTGTTTTTACAAAAAAAGCACTTAATACCCTCTTATATCTGAATCGGTCAGACCTTAGGGTATTAAGTGTGTTTGTTTTCTTTTTCCAATTAAGAGCTTAAAAGCTCTGATTAGCTCTGAATTATTTAGACATAACCTAATCACTGAAAACCTCTTATTGCATCGCCTACCTGGTCTCTCGCAAGCTCTCCATCGCTGCGTCTTCTACTGTCTTCTCTCAAGCTATCGATCTCTCTCTCAAGCTCTCGATCTCTCCCTCAAGCTCTCGCCTACCGTCTTCTACCTCTCGATTTAAGGTATCCATCTCGATCTCTCAAGCTCTCTATCTCTCGATTTTGTTTCTCCTTGCTTGGTTAATTTTTGTTTTGCCTGGTTCATTAAAGGGTTTAGGGATTACCTCCTATAAGGGGTTTTTGTATGTGAAGCCCGCGGTTGAAATCCTATAAGGGGTTTTTTATGTGAAGTCTGTTAATAGCATTTGAAAGAAGAATCAATAGTGATATTAATGGCTTCTGTCTTGGTTAATGGATTTCTCATAGTTGATTGCACATGCAACCATTTTGTTTGGTAAGAGACTATCCACGCACTACAATGATCTATTAGATTGTGTTCTTAAGGTCCATTGAAAACAAGAAACCAAGGGCAAACACCCACACCTGGTAGACAGAACGATAGATAAAAAAATCAGTATGTTTCACTGCAAAAGAAAACAAAAATAACTAATCAGTGCATAAGAAGGCATATAAAATAACATGTTGTAAACAGAACTTGGTTGAGTTAAGCTATAGTTGTTGTAGTAACAGAACTTGGTGTTGGTTGAATTGCATCTTGGATAGTTGAGAGCATAGACTTGAGCTTATTAAATTATTAAATTCAGTAACAATTACAAATACAGAAAGAAACATATCTGGAAACAAGAAGTTAAATACTTGAAAACCATGGCATATCATATGGATAAAGTGCTATTTAAATATAAAGATATTCCATCTCATGCACTTGCATGAGATGGATAAATTACTATTTAAAAATTAAACATAAATCATGATAGACATTCATCCATCTTTGTATTCACTTCTTAGCTCCACAAAACACATATATGTGATTAGGTGGCATGTGCAGTACCTAGTCCTACAAAGAAATCCATAACCAGGACTTAGGTGATTAGGTGTTAGTTATCAAAGTGAAGTAACTTTGATAAGATCAATTTGTCCTTCACCTTATAGAGAAATTAGGAAGTGGGATTTTGATGTCATTAAGAATGGAATCCTTAGGCTTCAGCAGATCTATGTTAGAAACAGAAGCATGAGCTTTCTCACCACTTAAAAGTGTTGCTCAATTTTATTTACAAGATGGCATGCTTTTTGGTTGAGTTGGTTAACTGTGATTATGGAAGAAGACAACATTTTTTGCTTCCAGTTCAATCTTTTGTTCTTATTTGTCATGGTGGGAAGCTGTTTTTACTGCAGCTCCCTAGCATTACCCTTCAATGTTTGCTTGTGTTTTTATTAATTTGTTTAAAATGCAAGTAAACTAATCATTTTTTATTGGTTCAAAATGAACCAATCTAATAGGTTGAAATTCTGTGATGTTTGCACCCTTTCTTTTCTTTTGTAGCATAATAGTCGCTTATCTTGATTTACTTGTAACGACAGGTCTTTTGGTTCCAAAGCTCAGCTCAAGAATAATCAGGGAAGCTGTTGGAGTAGTAGGGTGCCCCACAATGTATTCTTACATTCTGCTTTGGTGCAATTGAGGAAAATTGACCGAAAAAAGAAAGGGAGGGTCCAAGAAGCAATTAATTACTACATGATCGAGTCTTCGATCGCCCTTTTTGTTTCTTTTATGATCAATTTATTTGTGACTATCGTCTTTGCTAAGGAATTTTATGATATCAAGCAAGCCAATAGTATAGGTCTTGTAAATGTTGGGAGTATCTTGAACAATTAATGCAAAATGAATATTGATTTTAGTTGTTATGGGACTTTTTCCTTGTTTTATATTGTGTTGAATCAATTGACATATTTCAGTTGAATTTTTGAATATGTTAAAAATAAATGGTTGTTTACTAATGGTTTAAACGATTGGATATTTCAATTGAATTTAATTGAAATGAATTGATTCAAATTTCAGATCTCAAAAGTTTGTCAGTTTACAAAAACAAACAGTCTTATTGATTCAGATTTCAGACGTAAAAACAACGGTCTGGCTGATTCAGATTTCAGATTTCAAACGTAAAAACAAACAGTCTGACTGATTCAGATTTCAGACTTCAGCACCACCTCTTAAAAATCAGAAGTGAATTCAGACTTCAGACTTCAGCACCTCTTAAAAAACAAACGCCACCTAAGTATCTAATATATCACTTATATATAGAATGAAAGTGTTGACTTAATGACGTGCTTTCATCTTATGTTAGTATTCTTCGAATCGTAATTTACGGTGTTGGACGAGGCGTTATAAATATAAACACGATCCCGAGTTTTCAGACACATCGCACTTCCACTCGAGCCGAAGATTTTACCTTTTTTCTTAAATTGAGTTTTGATCACCGAGAAAACCAAGAGGTATTGATGTGAAATCATGAGAATTGAGTACTGAGGTGTTGAGAAATTGTGGTTGAGTTTGTGATATCCCATATTGGTGAGAGATTGAAAGATTGGAATAAGGAGGTATGTATAAGTAAAAAGGATGAGATTCATTGTGTCAACTCATGAGACTTGATAATAAAGTTATCTTACTTGGATGACCCGATTTTTATATCATTTCTCTTATATCAATTGACTTTAAAATAACAATGAAAGGTAATAATATGACTTTAGTATATATTTATATTATAAAGGTGAATTAAAATTTTAAAATAATATAACGAACAATGTATTGATTGTTTTTAGTTTGTTATAATTAAAAATGAATCTATGATAATCTTTTTAAATTAACTAAACTTGATTATATGATTATAAGTAAAATAAAATAAACTTATATGTAAAGAAGTTACATGTTAACGTATTGCCGCAAATTCATGAGAATATGATATATTCGAAGACGGATGTAAGTATATGGAAGAAGAAAAAAATGAATTTGAAATCAATCATTAATCATCAACCAATAACAATATCAATATAATATATTAAAAGAGGAACCGGACAAATAATACAAAATATATAACCATGGTTGAAATCAAAACCAACCAAATAATACAAGATAAGGAAGTGAATATTTAAAAAGAAGTTAGACATTTTATAATACTAAGAGAGTTTGTGCAATTTTTAGGTTGTCTTTTTTTTTTTGGCCAACCATCATTTATAAAAAATTATATAGCAAAAATTAATATAAAAAATAGCACAAAGTTGACGATAAATCAAAACCATAAAATTGGTCGAAGTTATAGTTGTAAAAACAATAGTTATATATCTATAATCTATATTTTTATATCTTTATTTTTATCTATAAAAATAATAACCATGGATAATCAAGTGACAACTTCTAAGCAGTATGAATCATTTTTTTTTCCTCATATATTGTTTGCATCCCACATTGGATCAAATAAGAAAGAGACACATGAGGGATGGATACAAAAATAAAAGAGCCAACATTTTTCTCAATATTGTTTGCATAATTGCATCCCGCATAGCATGATGGAGTGAAAGTGGCAAGAGAAAATTACTACAAAAAATGATTAAAAATGGAATAAACATATTTTTTTTCCCGGATGTCGACCTTTTGCTTAAGATCAAATTTAGTATATGTTTTTAGTTTAACATATCTATCCCGAATCTTAGTTTTTTTTTTGTTTAGATCAAATATATTATATGTTTTTAGTTTGATATCTAACATATGGGTTTTCAACTTGCCTGTTATTTTATTTTATATATGAGAATGCCCATTATACTACTTGGTGATATAGTTATTTATCTGTCGTCTTGGTGTTATTACTATTAAGGTTTGATACACCACTCTAATTACAATTTAAATATTATAGAATATTACGATAAAGCGTAGTATTTGTTTTTATCAGTTTAATATCTGATATGTGGGTCATCGACCCCACTTGATATTAATTTTATTTAAAAAAAAATCCATTATCTTAGTTTGGTGATGTGGGTTGCTACAACTTACACAATCCTCTAATTTTCACTTGAAATATTATAGAACGTTTCTTTTTCATAACTTCAAATGAGATTTCAATTAAATTTGTTACAAAATGAACATCATGATTTTGTCACCTTATATGAGATTTATGTTAAAATTATGACTTCTAATTAAACAAACTACTAACATTAGTCAAACATGTGTAGAGTACTTAGTAACACCATTCTCGATCATAGTTAGATAACTTAAATTAACATATGGTTTTAAGATTGTTGTCAACTTCTCTTAAAAACTTTTAAGGGGTGTTAAGATTGCTTATTTGAAACAGCTTATACTTTTATACAAAAACACTTATTAACTTATTATAAGTCAGAAAAATTTAACTTCTTTAAAAACTCCTTATTACCGGTATAAGTTGTTTATCCAAACACTCAAAAGTGCTTATCATCGGTACCACACCGGAAAAAATCAATAAGTTGTTTTTATAAACAACTCTATATACCCCCTTAATATTAATGAGTAGTTGTCACATACATTTGCCTAATATTTTTTAAAAATAGACTTTAAATTAATATTTTTTAAAAATAGACTTTAAATTTTAGTCATTAACATTTCTTTTAAAGATGATGTTATTACCATCGAAACACTACTTGAATATAAAGTGAAACCGGTCTGAATTATCGGTTTCTCACCGGTTTCTCTGTCCTTTTTGCACGACAAAAATACAATCAACAAAACCCTCCCCTCAGCACTCTTTTTTTGTCTCACTCATACTCTCTCATTCATCGTCTGGTCTGGAGAGAAAGAAGAAAGAAGAAAGAAGAAAGAAGAAGAAGAATCACAAAGTAAGACCTCTTCTTCTCTTCATTTTCGTCTTAACACCCACATTATACTCCTTCTTTTTGTTATACTTATTGTCTTCATTTTCATACTTCCTACGATTATATTCATTCTATCTACTTGCACTAAGATCCCGACGATTTCCATGGATAATCTTAGTCAAATCGGGGGCACTAACATGATATCAAGGTCAATTTATAGCAACAACAACGAGAAATCACCAATTTGTAGCTAGAAATCAGATTAGGGTTTGAGAAAAATCGAGGTCTTTGAGTCTCGTTGATCAGAAACAAATCTATACCTAACATATGCTTGACATAATGATTTCATCTTCCTTAAAGAAAATTATACAAATTATTCTTGGAAAAGAAATTAAATGTGAAGTAAGATTATGAAAAATTTAGGTTATTTGTTAAGGAAAAGGGGATTTTATTGTTTTAAGAGAATATACCCTTTGGAAGTCTAGAGTTATCTTTCAAATTTAATCAAGTTTCTTGAAGATTTTTTGTGCTTCTGCATTTTGGAAAAACCAATGGAGTTTAACTTACAATAGGTATTGAGGGCGCTGCTATTCTTACATCCATGGTCCACCTAAATTGCTTGATATATATCCCTTGTATCATCTAGATTTTTCCTTATTGAAACTAAAAGTATCAGTCCATGGAATTTCAATTTCAAAGTTATAATTTGATAGAGTAAATTATGGATTTGGTCCTGTGTTTTGAGGTTTTTTTTTATGACTATGGTCTCTATACTATGTTTACTATGGATTTAGTCCTGGTGGTATTTAATTTCTCACAACCATCGTCCCTCTAACTAACACCGTTAAGATAATTCCCTTAGTCAGTCAACTCGGGGGGCAGTTTGGTATTTTTACCATTTTTGACACATCCCTTTCCCTCCTCCATCTTCAGCCTCCCCTACACGTGAAAATACATACACACGCACAACGTCATTGCTTTAAGTGGAACAAACAAACAAATGAGTCTATGAAAATATACGCACATCATCAAATAGAGTGGAGTGTATGTGGTTAGAAGCAGAGAGTAGTTCGAAGAAAGTGAAGCAATTGTAGGCTCAAAATAGTGTACTGTCGAGTGGTACATGCAAATGTTTGGATTAATTAGAAGTGTTGTCCAGTGGCATGTATATTCATGTATTTTAACCGACAGATGTTTATGGGTTGATGTTTATACGTAGGCACTATTGCACATAATCTTTCTCCTAATGTTGTTTAGTGATCCAAATGACAATATACAACTCCAACCGTGGGAGGTTCACAGGAGAAGGGAAAGGGGGTCATGGTGGGGGGAAGGAGATGGTGGTCGGAGATAGTGGCCGGTGCTGGAGATGAGGAAGACGAAGACGTCTTGGAGGCAAATGGGAGGGAAGGGGTTGAGCTCAACGGGGAGCCCCCCGGGGGCAGGGGTTACATGGGACAGACAACATTGGGGAGAGAGCCCGAGAGGTAAGGTTAAGTCGCCGATGAAGAGTAGCGGGTCCCAAGCTCCACCACTCTCCCTCCTCATGTATGTATACAAGGGTGCATATATATAACTTTACATAATATAATATAATATTTATATTATATAATGTATTTTTTAAGAGGAAATAGACAAAACGAGTCAATAAAACCAATATACCCTCTAAGTTAACAAATTTTTTAACCGAGGTAAACCACAAGGACCATTGCCATAACAAATTGCATAGCATAGGGACCAAATCCATAATACACGTAGTATAGGGACGCTACTCATAAAAAAACATCAAAACCCAAAGACCATATCCGCAATTCACTCAAATTTATGCTCTTTAGAAATTTGCATCTATTTAGGCCCCCTTTTTGAAAGGACTTAGTTCCATCTTTCTGATTCTCGAAGAATGAGGGGAAAGGGGATTGATCGAGAAGGATCTCTGGTTCTTATTATAAGATTGTGATTTTCATCCATTTTTCTTTTCTTTTTATTTTATACCTTTATCTTATTAATGTATTAACTTAATTTAGTAAATATATATGAAGAAAGTTTTTCTTTTTAAATCAAGTTACATTATTAGAAAATTCTTGTCAATATCTTTAAACTGAGTCTAATACTGAATATTATTAAAGAAAATTAACGTTATTACGAATAAAAACAATGTTTGTGAAAGTATTGATTTGAAATAATATAAAGTAAATCGAATTTATATGTATCGAACAATTCCATTGATTTTATTCATTTATTTCATCTGTTTCCTCTTACTCTCATTTTATCACTATCTTATAATCAGATTTGTAAATGGCAAATGGGGGAGAAAATTTGCATTTGCACTGGAATTCAAGTGATAAGGTATTTTGATCTTACTACTTTGTTAAAATACTTTATGTTCAAATACAGTTCTTTATATGTCTTTGTTTAGGAGCATGATATTCACACAAACATAACAACTCGAGGTGATACAAGTAATTTTTACGTCCCCGACAGTCCATCAAAATTTGTTACCAACAAGGTATAATGTTTTATGTTCATTATGTGAGATGAAAGCAATACTAAACGTTATAACGGAAAAAAATCAATTTCAGGTGTTTCATTCTCGAGAAGACTTAATTGAGTGGGTGCAACAGGTGGGACGCTCAATTGGTTATGTAATTATTATTAAAAGATCGGTCAGAAAACCAAGCGGGATCATGAGTAGAGTATGTTTCATGTGTGATCGTGGTGGTGTATACAGAAGTAATAAAATCTCTAGTCGTAATACTACCACCAAAAAGCTTAACTGTCCTTTCGAATTGATAGGAAAATATGAAAGAGTGCATAATTGGTGGACGTTAAGGGTAGTATGTGATGCACATAATCATGACCATGCACAACACATACAAATGAAGGGTCATCCATATGCAATGAGATTGTCTGAAAATGAGGTTCAACTTGTTGAAGATCTGTCAACGCAGTATGTAAAACCACGGGAAATCTTATTTGCATTAAAGAAAAAACATGTGGATAATGTGTCTACTTTGAAAACCATATACAATGCACGCCAAAAAATTCGGACTAAAAAAAATGCAGGAAGAACAGAAATGCAGGTTGTTATGTCATTTTTACAGCAGCAAGGCTATGTACATGAAAGTCGTGCAAATGAGACGACTAATGAGTTGGAAGATTTATTCTTCGCTCACCCGAAATCATTAGAGCTTTTGCGTGCATTTCCACACGTAGTGATGATCGATGCCACTTATAAAACAAATAGGTACGACATATTATTAACTTCATTTTTATACTATATTTGTTATATTGTTACTATCAAGTTTATATTATTGTTATGTATATTAATATAGTTTTGTTATATATGTTATTATTCAGGTACAATGTGTCACTTCTTGAGATAGTTGGTGTAACATCAACTAACATGACATTTTGTATAGCATTTGTGTTCATGCATAAACAAAAGGAATCCACTTATATTTGGGCATTGAATCGCCTAAAGTCAACAATCGGCTGCATTTGCCCACGTGTTATAGTCACGGACAAAGAGTTGCCTTTGATGAATGCATGTAATATTGTATTCCCCGATGCTAAGCAATTACTCTGTAGATGGCACATCTATCAAAGTATCTTGAAAAATTGCAGACCTTTAATACTTGATCTTCAAACTTGGAATTCCTTCTACCAAGTATGGATGAAGCTAGTCGATTCTCCAACAAAGGAATGGTACGAGTACAATTTGGCAGGACTTGAAGCAATTTTGTTCTATCATCCAGGTATTGTGGAAGTAATATATTTAAAAGGTTTGATAATCATTATTTGTAATTTGCTTTACTTTTTCAGGTGTTCTTGAGTATCTGAATGAAGTATGGTTGACACCATACAAGGAAATGTTTGTATCTGCTTGGACTGAATATTTGAACCCTGGGAGTAACACAAGTAATCAAGCTGAGAGGCAACATTTCAAGTTAAAATTGTACTTAGCGTCGACACAATCAGATTTAGAGACATCTCTACACTATATACATGAAGTCATTCAGTCACAAGATGCATCGATAGAGGCAAGTTTGCAATGAAACAAAGATGCCATCATTGTATATATCACTTTGGAGTGTTGTAAAACGCTATGGTTTTATTTCATGAAGTATGCATTTTATCTGATAATTAATGGACTTTTATATCCATGTAGGTATCAAAGTCTTAAACGCCAGAAATAATACAAGAAGTGAGTTTTACATGTTTCTAATGCGGGATTGGATCAGACGGAAGAACAAGAAAACAAAATGGCACAATTTGTAGAGCAGCAGGTACAAGTCTGATGGCCACACAAGTCAGAGAAGAAAAGGCTTGAGCCTTTTCCACGACTCGGTTTAGGACTTTTCACGACCGTGAAGAGGAGCTCTTGGGGCATGAGTTTGGAGAGTCGTTGGTTGAGAAAAATCACAGCCGTTGGGTTGTCTTTTGGACAATCGAGAGGAGCAATAGCATCAACTGGGTCTAGTTTGCCGGCGCTTTTTCTCAACTTCATTCAGTAACGATTTCTTGCTTTGGTTTTATGTTCTTGACTTTGTTTTTAAAGGTTAATGTATTGTAAAGATGATTCTCGAGTCTTAGATTCGAATTGCGGGTTGTGATCTCGAATTATGCATGTGTTCTTGTTTTGGTTTCTTTCTGAGAATGTAGTACGAAGTTCTTGTGGGTTTTAAATTTAATCACCGACTCTCGGATCACAAAAACACCCGACTTATCATATGACTAGGAGTAAGTTTAGTTTAATTTAAACCTTGTTGCTCGTGTGCATCAGTTTGAACAGCCATCATTGCCTCGCATGGAGAGACGTTCCGATCTTTTTGTAGGCCTTGCTAAATCCAAATTTTTTGATTACATTGTAGAACAAAAATGCGCTATGTAAGATCTCACATTGGTTGGGGAGAAAAACAAAGGTTGCCTTGTAAAAAGACTTGATACCTCCTTTATAAGGTGCATTTTAAAACCGTAAGGCTAGGTGTGAGATAAAGCGGACAACATCTGGTACGGTTGATATGAGATGTTATAGATGGTATCAGAGCCAAAATTGTGTACCAGTGAAGACGCTAGGCTCCCAGGGGGGTGGGTTGTAAGATCCGACATTGGTTGAGAAGAGGAAAAAAGTTGCCTTATAATAAACTTGATACCTCATCTATCAGACGCATTTTAAAACTGAGAGTCTAGGTGTGCGGATAAAGCGGACAAATCTGGTACGGTTGGCATGAGATGTTAGAGGCTAAACCTAAACGATTAACAATTTGAAACTTAACCTAAACCATTGATAATTTGAACCTAAAACCAAACAATTAATAATCTGAACCTAACAATTTCGGCTATAGTTTACACTCTAAGCACAGGAAAATTGGGGTCCCAAAAAATTTCAGGGGCCTTGTTAAAAATCTAATATTTAACATGCTAAGGGATGACCCTGTCGACATGTTACAATTGTACTTCTAAAAATGTTGGATTGTAAATGCACAAGTATACAAGTGATGTAATCTTTCTTTGAAGGGTTTTCCAGGAAATGCTTGAATTAATCTTAGAAAATTGTGACCACAAGAAATCAATGTTGATAAATTCAGTGGTCACAATTGTTATGTATTTTTGGAACTGAACCCTGGATAGATGAAATATTCCATCATATCCTTCAGAACCTTAATCACTATGCCATAACCGTCGTGGTTTGATGTTTTCTTTTTGGCGATTTTCTTTAAAAAATCTAGTAATTATTTGATCTATTTTATCAAATGAAGTAAATTTTCCGTGTATAGTGGTTAATTAATGAGAACAAATTTCTTACGCAACAAATATTTATAATATAATATTCAATATTCGTATCATTTTAATGATATTATTTAGATTTTTTCATAACACGTAGTAAGGTGTTTTAAGGTTTTTCTTACGAATTCTATAGATTTTGAAGTTACTACCCTCTCTCAAGTTTTATATAGTGGTAGGTTTAAATAATAAAATTTAGCATCGTGAAAAAGTAAGAAAGAAAAGTTTATATGTGAATTATTAAAAAAAACCATTTGAAGATGCATATGTGGACCATATGAATAATCTGTAACGTTGGTTCATATATGCATTATCAAAAAGATTTTTTCAGACTTTTTTATTGATTTACATATGAACTTTTCCTTCTTATTTTTATTAATGATATTTAGCATTTTTATTTGAACCGACCCCTATATGTATAAGGTAAAAATTTATTTTTAAATCATTTTCATAGAGTTTGTAATCTTTGTATGGTTCTTATTTGATTTAATTGAGAACCATAAAAAGGTTGCAAACCCCATGAAAACCGAATTAAAAATAAAATTTTACCTTATCTTTTTTCATCAAATGCTATGATTTAAGATATTGTTTCACATATATTTGTTTCATAATGTTGATAGTTTCACATGTATTACTTTACATATATTTGTTTCATAATGTGATAGTTTCACATGTATTCATTTACCATATGAATATTTTTTTATGTGTATTTTTCGTTTCACCAAGTGAATAAACAAAAGTTTTACATGCAAGTTTTTTCATAAGGTGAACACAAACATACGTGAAACAATATGTAAAAAGATATTTTTGTATCCGTTCTCACAGGTTTGTAACCTTTTTGCGGTTCTCATTATATATATAAGGTTTCTAACCTTTTTTGCGGTTCTCATTTTATATATATATATATATATATATGGAAAGGTCATTTGAGAAGTAAAGAAGTGAAGAAGTGATTCTAACTCTTCATTTAGTCAATATTTGCGATTTTGACCATGAAGCATGAGATAATTACTAGCATAAGTATGCGAAAGATAGAGATGTAATTTCGTAACTTTTATAAATAGATGACAAACGAGTTCATATGTGAACCCATGTGATTCACATATGAATTATATGTTCACATGTGAATCAGTTAATTAGTTGATGTAAATCACACGAGTTCATATGCGAATCAGTTAATTAGTTGATATGTGAATCACAAGAGTTTATATGTGAATCAGATAATTAGTTTATATGTGAATCACACAGGTTCATATATGAACCATTTTGCCGTCTATTTGTAAAATTTATGAAACTACCCCTTATTTTTTGCATAGTTGCAAATTTTGACCAGTCAAAGCCGCAATTCTTGACCAGTCAAATTCGATCTTGACTATATGAAGGACTAGAATTGTTTTTTTACTTCTCAAATATTTACCACTTCTCAAAATAACTTATGACTATATATGTATATGTATGTGTGTGTATATATATATATATGCATGCATGTATATATATACATATATATATGTGTGTGTATGTATGTATGTATGTATGTATGTATGTATGTATGTATGTATGTATGTATGTATGTATGTATGTATGTATGTATAGGGTTGGGTTGGGTTCACGTGAGACCAACCTATTTTAGTGAGACTCATGATAACATAATTTTACACTTGAAACTTCATAGGGAAAACACTATGAATGTTACCTTCCTAGTGTTTAACTGTGAAGTTTCAAGTGTAAACAGGTGGTCTCACGAAAATAAGATGTTAATCCCACAATGATCAAGTAACAATGTATCTAAATAATCAAGAACAACAATTAAAGCTCAAATCATCATGTATATTGATAAACTTTCTCAATACATGTTTCTCTCTCTATACTCTCTCTCTAGAATATTACAATATGAGTTCTTCCTGTACGCATCTATTCACTTACAATTTCTCTCTACAAAGCTACTTATATGATTGACTAAATATACAAGTCAAACTATAATTGAGCACAATGTTGACTTTGTTCGACTATATTGACTTTAAGCTTTGACGTCTTCAATCTTTAAGCTCGGTGATCTTGAATGAAATAATAGTTGACCTAACAAGCATGCTGTAGAGATGGCTTCTGCCTAGAAAGAGATGGAAGAACTGATGAAACAAACATAGTCCTTGCTACTTCCACCAGGGTTATGTTCCTTCTTTCTACAACTCCAGCTACAGAAAAGTTTTGAGAAATATCATCACTAGCAAAATATTCATTAATTTTGTCATTTTTGAATTCCGTCTCATTGTCACTTCTCAGCTTTTTTTATCTTGCACCGTAGAAGAACTTGTATTATTTTCAGCACCATGATAAGAAGTTCAAAAACTTTAGACTTCTTTCTTACAAATTCAACCCATATATACCTTATATACTCATCAACAAGAACTGGTATGTATCTTTTACCAGATAAGCTTTGTGTGGATATTGGTCCACAAAGATCAACATGGAGCATATCCAGTGGCTTAGAGCAAGAGGTTTCAGATTTGGACTTATGGGTGGCTCTTTTCAACTTACCCATTTCACAAGCAGAACATAAATGGTCTTTTTCAAAATACAAGTAAGGTATTCCTTTTTTACTAACATTTGTTTGGCTAGTTTCTTTAGAACTTGAAAGTTTAGGTGTGAAAATCTTTGATATCATAGCCAATTTTCTTCAATCCTATGGGGTATAATATATAAGGTCTTGTGTCCCAATGGAGAGTGGAAATCCAAAAGGTAAAGGTTACCTTTTCTTGTTTTCTTGATTATGTTAAGTCCGGATTGTTTAAATTATACAGAATCCATTTTTGAATCTAACCTCCAATCCTTTGTCACTTAACTAATATATGCTTAAGAGATTATGCTTTAAGTCTTCTACATAAGACATTTTTGATATAAATATGTTACCTTTGACAAGATTTCCATACCCCCTTATGATACCTTTATTGTTATCTCCAAAAGTAAATGATCCTCTAGGTTTATCTATGAATGAGGATAGCTGAATTTTATCACCAGTCATGTGCCTAGAGCATCCTGAGTCCATAAACCATGGCTGCAGATTTGGTCCTGCAAGACAATTAAGGATTCTTAGGTACCTATTTTCTAATAAGTCCTTTTCTATTAGCTTGGGATTTTTTTTTCTCTTTTTTTCACCTTCAGCCTCTTTAGGCTTGGGCATGTGATTCTTATGCTGCTTCTAAGTCTTAGGATTTTCATATCTATATATAGACTCAATAAGCATACATTTATTACCTAAGAAATGCTTTCTCAGCTGATGTAAAAGTGTTAAACAATAACAGTTATGCATGTATGGATATAAATGTTTAAATACTTTCTTTTGTTTTGAAAAACAAGAAGTATTGGCCTTATATGAGGTTTTTGTTCTAGCATTGGTTGTTTTTACAAACTTCCTATCTAGTCAAGACTTTTTATTGGAAAACTTGGCTTTTACTTCATTCTTGAAATTATGCTTTCCATCCTTCTTCACACTTGTTGTACCAGAAGAAATATGAACATTAGGTTCATCAATAGCAATTCCCTTATGTTTATGTTCAGGAGTAAATTTGATGAGGCGTTCATAAGGCTCTTTCACATATGTCGGGTAAATATATTTCTCTACCTTTTTTTTTTACCAATTTATATTTTTAGAGTGTCATGGAAATGTACTTATATGTTATTTTAGAGGAAGGTATATGTTGTATCATCTTTTATTTTCTATGGTTCCTTCATATTATTTTTGTGGATGCCCCTCTTAACATTTTTCTGTTTTACCTTGATATGAGAGTGGGATATAAAACTCTTACTACTCTACACTAGCCTGCACATTCATAGGTTGCAACCCCTCATTGATATTTCTGTTTTTGTTATTAAAACAAAAAAAATGATATTAAGGGGGTGTG